CACTCTGTCCTCTAGGGGCGCTGTGGGTCAGAATCCCCTCCAGGCACTGGGTTTGGTTTGGGCTTTGCTTCTGTGAAGGTAGGAGCTCTGGTGGCGCAGTGCCTAAGGCACTTGACTGCTAACCAGAAGGCTGGCGGTTCAAACCCACCAGCCACGCCTCAGAAGGAAGGTTGGGCAATCTACTTCCATAGAGATACTGCCTCGGAAACCCAAGGAGGGGGTCACTATGAGTCGGTCCGACTTGACGGCACATATCAACAACAACAACAACACAGAGAGGTACCCGTGATGTTCACGGGGACAGCTAGAAGCACCTGGGGTACATACCCCCTGGGTACACACTTGGGGACCCCTGTAGTTACAGAAAGTCTTAAATGACCTCACAGCCCGCTCGTTTCCTCTGCGGGGACACTGCCACATGTCCGTCTGCGTTTTGCAGGTTGCACGGTGAAACGATCACTCTCTGTGTCTACGTTTCCCTTGGTCCTTCTTTCCTGTCCCTTCCTGCCTCCTGAGCTTTATTCCTGGGCTAATGGCTGCCCTTTTGGTCTCCCTATGGTTGACTGTTCCAAGGAGTGCCACCTCCCTGTGTTACTGTTCATCTTACAGGGAAATGCTAACCACAGGGCTGCCACGTTGTGGAGACGGCAATCAACATCAAGAAACAAAATACATATGAATTGTTGAATGGAAAACCAATTTGCTCTGTAAACTTTACCCAAATCCAGTACGTCACAGGCGTCACGTGCAAGTGAGCTGCTGTTGTTTGTTGAGGTGGTGTCGATTTCGACTCACGTGTGCACAGCAGACCTGCTCCACAGGGTTTCCAAGGCCGGGACCTTTCAGAATCAGGTCATCACAGCTTTCAAACCACCAACCGATCGACTAGTCAGTGAGCGCTGAACTCCCAGGCAACCTAGCATCTGTAGTCGCACGGCCACGGTCTCGTAATGACAGACACTTCTCTGCACAGTCGATTCCGTGGGCAGGGCTGGGAACCCCAGACACACAGTGCCACAGCGCGATCCCATACAAAGTAACGCACAGCCACCTAAGGGCCTCCATACCCGGAGCCTCAGGCAGTTACACAATTACATTGTAGTGGTGGTGTGCTGTCTGGTCGATTCCGACTCACAGCGCCCCTAGAGGACAGAGTGGAACTGCACCACAGTGTCTCCAAGGCTGTCAATCTTCACAGAAGCAAAGCCCAAACCAAATCCATTACCGTGGAGTCCATTCTGACCCACAGCGCCCCTAGAGGACAGAGTGGAACTGCCCACAGGGTCTCCAAGGCTGTCAATCTTCACAGAAGCAAAGCCCAAACCACATCCATTGCCGTGGAGTCCATTCTGACCCACAGCGCCCCTAGAGGACAGAGTGGAACTGCCCACAGGGTCTCCAAGGCTGTCAATCTTCACAGAAGCAAAGCCCAAACCACACCCACTGCCCTGGAGTCCATTCCGACCCACAGCGCCCCTAGAGGACAGAGTGGAACTGCTCCACAGGGTCTCCAAGGCTGTCAGTCTTCACAGGAGTGGATTGCCAGGTCTTTCTTCCGTGGAGCTGCTGGGCGGGTTTAAGCCTCCAGCCTTTCTGTAAGCAGCCTAGCGCTTAACCACGGCACCCCCAGGCTCCTTCTCACACTGCGTTGTTGCTGGCAGCCTTCAAGGAGATTCTGACTCAGCGCCCCCCTGTGTGACAGAGAAGAGCTGCCTGCAGGGTTCCCTAGGCTGGGATGGTTACGGGAGCAGATTGGCACGTCTGTCTCTTATGGAGCCGCATAAGACCTAGCATCCAGCCACAACCACAGCATCACAACAGCCACCCACAAGCACTGAGCACATCTTTTCCTAGTGACCGCCACTTTTCTCACATGCAGTCCCAGATATCTGTGATGCTGCATAAAGGCAAGTGGCCATACAGTCACAAAAACAGTGGCATTTACCAAAACTCAAACTCTCTGCCTCCTCCTCCCCACCCTACAGGACACAGTAGCATTGCCCCATGCGTGTCCGGGCTGTCAGTCTTTATGGGGGAAGACCGCCTCTTCATTCTCCTGTGGAGCGGCTGGTGGGTTTGAACCGCCAGCCGTCTGGTTAGCAGTCAAAGCCTTAGGCACTATGCCACCAGAGCTCCCGGGGCATTGGCAGTGCTGTGTAAATCGACCACACCCTTAGGGTCCTGAAACCCAGTCAGACCAGCTGCCCGGAGTTGACTGCTCGCTGGGGTTTCCCGGGCTGGGACCTTTCCGAGGCAGAGCAGCAGGGCTGCCTTCCAAGAGCCTGTGGTGGGTTCAAACCACCAGCCTGTTGGTCAGTGGTCAGTCACGCACTTAACCGCTTGAGCCACGCAGGGACTCCACGCGACGCACGATCGTCAGTGTGCTCACAGCCAGCCGCACAGCCGCGTACACGGCCTCAGAGGATCAGTCACAGGCTTGATGTGAGGAAAGCACCACACACACATACACAACCACACGCAACTGCACCACGTGCACACACATACACACACCACACGCAATCACACCACATACACACACACCGCATGCAACCACATCACGTGCACACACATACATGCCACACAACCACACTATGTGCACACACACATATACACACCACATACACAACCATAAAGTCACACCACACACACACCCCACATACACAGTCATAGAGTCGCACCACACACACAGACACTCATCTCACACACACAACCACACCTTGTGCACACACATACACACAACATATACAACCATAAGGTCACACCATACACCCACACCACATACACAGTCATAGGGTCACACTACACACACAGACACCATAGGGTCACACCACTCCTACACACACCCCAAACACAATCATAGGGTCACACCACTCCTACACCCCCCTGCATACACAGCCATAGGGTCACATTACACACACACACACACACGCAATCGTAGGGTCACACCACACACACATACACACACACCCCGCACACACAGTCATAGGGTCACACCATACACACAAACCCACACACACAGTCATAGGGTCCTGTGTCGTCACGCACACAACCACCACCACGCCCCCTGTAGTTACTCACGCGCACACAGAGCGCTGCGTCGTGTACACGTGGGGAAAGCCGCGAGGGGAGGCCCCACCCCAGCCCTGCAGTGACACAGTTACGGACACGGGGGAAAAAGCACCCACAAACCCAGGGCTCTGGATCCCCGCCCCGTGACCCCGCGCGCCGCCGGGGGGAAGCGCCCCGCGGGGTTTCTGGCCGGTGATCTCTGCAGAAGCAGGCCTCCAGGCCTCTCTTCCGCGCCGCAGGGGGCAGATTCGAAATGCAGCAGACGGCTCCCTCTCTCTCCGGGGAGCGGCCGGGGGCTCCAGCCGCCAGCCCCTCTGCTGGCAGGGCGCCCTGGCACACAGTCAGATGCCACCCACCGGCCCGCGCGGTCAGCCTGCACTCACACACCTGCGAGCCCCAGGATCAGGGCTGCCGCCAGCATCCACATCCAGCCGGGTCTAGCTGTCGCCATGGCGTTGCACCTGGGGGACGGGAGGCCCAGGTGGCTCGGGGGTCCTCAGCCCGCGCCTCTTTCCTGCTCTCCCCGTTGTCCCGGGACAGAGAGGGACTTCGGACACTGCCCATCCACTCAGGGACTACAGTTAGCACCCTTCAATGAGGGCGAGAAGTGGGGGGCTAGGGAGAGACACCGGGTGCCTGAGGGACCCTAGACATCTGCACAGACACCTCCCCACTGCCCCCACCAGCCGGGCCCCCCAGGCCTCACCTGCCCGTCCGCCTGCTCCCAGCTGGGCCAGCCAACCTCTCAGGCTTGCCCTGTCCTGCCGCCTTCTCGGCTGTGGGCACCGGGCCTGGGTTATAACCACCCACTGGTCCCCCGGGCACATTCCCGGGTGGTGAGGCGCCCAGCCCGGCCTCGACAATCAATCACTCCAATTGCCTCCCCCCACCTCCGCCCCCAGAGCACCCCCCACCCACCGAGCGCCACTCCCTACTCGCGGGCTCCGCAGGGTGGGGAGGGGGGCTGCCAGGTCAGGGCCCCTGCTCCGCCGCGCCTCCAGCCGCTGCGGCCACCCGACCACCTCTGGGTCCCTCTTCTTCACAGAGGAACTCTTCTCCCCTCTTCCGCTCCCTCTTTACCTCATTCCCACTCTCTCTCCGGGTCTGTCCCCCTCTCTCCGGGTCTCTGTCCCCCTTTCTCTCTGGGTCCCTGTCCCCCTCTCTCTGGTCCCTGTCCCCCTCTCTCTCTGGGTTTCCATCCCCTTCTCTCTCTGGTCTCTGTCCCCCTCTCTCTGGGTCTATCCTTCCTCTGTCTATGGTCTCTGCCCCCTTCTCTATGGTCTCTGTCCCCTTCTCTGGTCTCTGTCCCCTTTGTCCCCTCTCCTTGCCTGTGCGTCTCTGTGTCTCGCTCTATCTCTGTAATTCTACCTCCTTTTAATGGTTCCGAGCATTCTGTGTATCAAGTGGACCCCAGAGCTCTGAAGCCTTTTATTCCGCTTCTGCTGCCTTTATTTTTACACCTTCACTGAGTTAAAACTGAAGTCCAATGAACTGTGCATCTTCAAAGGGTCCCATGTGATGAGCTTTGACTTAGGTATGTCCAAAGTCACCCTGTACCGTTTGAATACATATGTCCACTAACCATCACCCCAGTGAAGATGATGAACATGCCCGTCACCCCAAAGTGTCCTGGAGCCCCTTTAGCTGATTCATCAATGCTCTGATTTCTCACCCCCACACGTGTGTCTCTTTTTCTATCTCTCCTCCTGTCTGCCTTATGTCTTCCTTTCCTCTGTGACCCTGATATTTCTCTGTCTGTCTGTCTGTCTGCCTCCCTCATTTCTTTTTCACTGTCCACCTCCCTTTCTGTCTGTCTCTCCTCAGCCCCATCTTTCTTTCTCTGCCTTTTGTTCCGCGTTCCCTGTCTCTTCCTTCCTGTCTCTCCCTCCCTCCCTCCTCTCTCTGTATTTCTGACTCTGAGGATCTGTGTATCGATGTTTTCAGTCTCCCTTGCCCTGCATTTCGGGCAGATGTCACTTTGCAGAGACACCCCTCACCCTCCTCTCCTGCCCCTGCCCCAGGCCACCTGGTGTGTGGTGAGTGTGGGCCCCCACCTCCCCCACGGGTGCCCCAGCCTGGCTGGTGGAGCCAGACACCAGGCGTGGGTGATGGTTGGGCAAGGCCACCTGTCGATGGGGAAAGAGACCCAGAGACCAGAGCAAGGGCGGGTGGCTCCTAGCCCTTTGGGAAATGGGGCGCTGGGTGGGGAGGACACAAGGTGGCTGTGTCCTCTCAGTTCTGATCCATCCAGGCAGCCTCTCCTGATCCCATCTGTCTCCGGGTTTTCTGTCTTTCTCTCTCCCTCTGCCCCCAACTTTGTCTCTCTGCTTCCGACCCTGTCTCCAGGTCTCATTTGCAGAGGGCAGACACATCAACCTGCCATTCAAAATGCATTCACCAGGCACCTGTCATGTGCCATGCTCTCATCAGACCAAGATCAAAACTGGCAAAGACGCAGGAAAAGGTGTCCCTCAAAAAAAAAAAAACAAAAACAAAACAACAGCTGCCCTTTTGAGCTCACAGATCTTGCAGGTGAGGACGCAGCCATCGGGCTCAGCTCTGTAATCCAGAGCCGGGGAGAGGCAGGTTTTGCAGCCCTTGAGCGTGGTTTTAATGCATCCCCAAACCAAACTCACTGCTGTCAAGTCAGACCCAACTCATAGCGACCCCTCCTTGGGTTTCGAAGGCGGTATCACTACAGAAATAGATTGCCCAACCTTCCTTCCGAGGAGTGGCTGGTGGGTTTGA